AGAGAGGAACTCTTAGCTGCCCGAACGAGACAAATAGCCTACGGTTTGGAAGATGACCTCATGACAGCGGCAAATCGTCTGGTAGTGGAAAGGGACAAGGGTAAAGAGAGATGGGATAAGAATGTGCGAATCAGGAAAGAGAGGGTGAGCGTAGGAGATATGGTCCTTCTCTACGACGCGGCACTGGAGAGGACCTGGACCGGAAAACTCGCCAACAGATGGATGGGACCTTACAGAGTGGTTGAGGCACTCGACTGGGGTGCATATATGATAGCAAAATTGGATGGATCTAAGTGGAAGGACCCAGTGGCGGGCGCTAGGTTAAAGCTCTTTAGGCCCAGGCCCACGCTCACTTTATCGCTAACCAGCCCGAAAGGGAAAGGGAAAGCCATGATGGAGGATGGAGCCCCCTTGAGGCAATTCGAGGCAGGGGAGAGTTCCAAGAAAAGGAAAAAGACAGAGAAGAGAAAGGTCAAAGGGTTAGCTTTAGGAAGAGAGAAGAGATGGTTATTCGTGCTCAAGCAAGCTAGACAGAGAGTTCGCGTTAGACATACTGGCGGATCGACACCCTTCTCGGGACAAAGACAGAAGAAAAAGAGGATCGTGCCGGGGCCAAAAACCAGAAGAAACAGGAGAGTCAAGAAGCATCTTCTTAGCCCCATGACTCATAACAAACTGAAACATAAGACAATTGAACGCTGAAGTGGGCGTCCTTTACGGGCCATCACCCTGAAGCTCATCCGCTTCGTCTGACGTAAGTTGCTAGGGCTCGACGGGGGCCTCGAGAAGTGGTCCGGGCTGACTGTCAGGCGGCCATAAGCAGTGCGCCGCCTGAAATCTACGGTTTTGGGACTTAGGTGCGAAGACGAGTCCGTGTTTAGACGGTACTCTGGTTTGACCGGGCAGCAGAGATTAGGGGAACTCAGGGTAACCCTGATTTTGGGCGCACTGAACCTTACAGGTAACCCTCAAAGATGGCGAGATGGGTGGTCGCACTCGGCACATCGACGGACCATCATTTCCGGCCGTTCAGAGGGTTAGACCCGGATTGGCCTGCCGCTTTTAGGATCAACTTTTTTTCACTAAGTGGTTGGGATCAAACCTTTTTTCACTATCCCCCGATGGTCGAGATTTTCCCTAACACTTTTCTGATTTACCTGATTACTAACCTTACTGAGTCGGGGTGATCCGAGGATGTCCGAGTGAACGGCGTGGGATGGTGCTACTTTGGACCGACAGTGTGGTATCTGGCTCAGTGCCAGACATAGTTCTGATTCGCCATGAGCTCAGCATCAGCTTACTTCAGGTCCGGACACATCACCGACATTTATTACCAGGTCCGGGACCACTACGGTCATTTATTTTATCAGGTTCGGAACCTGATTTGTTTTCAGGCGAGGTATTACCTTGAGGTCGGTATGGTTCAAGTTCGGTGATGATTCGGTGAGGACACGACACTTAGGGTCGACGTCTACATTCCGCGGTATTCCGTAGGAGCTGCTACAGTGTGGAACAGGGATGGGCTATTGTGGTATTTTGAGGTGTTCGATATTTTTCAGACTCAGCAGTGGTTCGACATCAGAGAGGTACGCGCCGCTGCATTATTTGCAGGTTCGACATTGATCCAGCATGTACATGGACTGTTGGCTGGAACCTACTTTCAGACCCGGGGGCCGGTACTACTACGGTGATTCTTCTATCGGCGGTGAGCGGCRTTGGTAAAGTTTGGTCTTGGTTTGGCAATGCGTTGTTCACTGGGCAGTACGGTACGATCACAAGATCGGTATGACCACGTGGTTCGATTGCTCTGTTGGCTGGCAAGGTATGTGTGGCATCGCACGACAATCAGGCTCGATGGCTTGGGACCAGCCTGGCCACAAGCTCGTGTAAAGGATCTGGTACGGTAACGTTACACTCACTGTTTGGGGTTACAACGATTGAGCTTGTGAACTTGGTCCCTGGTGCGAAACTGGTTTCATGGTACCGATTTTCTTTCTAGGCCTCCGTAATGTTAATTTTCCTTGCTAGCGGGGGCCCTGTTCGTCCAAATTGATATCGTTGGGCCTAGGATGGATCGACCACACTAGTACAGTGACTGCTCAGGACCGGGCCTGGTAGGGTTGAAGCTGAAAACGGCTGAGGGCCCAAGGGATATAGTCGGGGCAGATATGCAAAAAAAAAGGGGGGACTCGGTGTGAGCAAGGTGTGCACGGTGTGCTCGGCGCAGTTACGGTAGGGGGATGCAGTTGAGGGATATTGCGCGAGATGATCGGGGCTAGAGGGCAAGACGAAGTGGTGGGTGCTCGGAATGTGCGCCAGGTGAACGCAGTGATTTGGCTTGATTGACTTCAGAGCTTGTCGGAGAACTGAAGAAGAAGGGGAGTCATTCAAGCGGATGGGGTTTTTTTTACCCCTCTATCAGTGCTGATGCGTACGTGCCAGTCGAACATTACAAGGGGGAGTGTCAGGTGTACACAACCCTCATTGGCGCAAGCTGAGTGGAGCTGCATCTTCTGCTGGCCAGCTAATCAAGAGTTCTTGCTGCTAGCGGGAGGGGCCAGCTCCACTGATCAGGCAATCAAGTATTCTGCTGGCCAGTCAATCAAGTACTTCTGCTGCTAGCGGGAACGGCCAGAGTCTTTGATTAGGCAGCTGAGCTTTCCGCCGATCAACTATTCCACTCCCTAAGTAAGATCACTAAATTTGCAGGCACACAGGTATRTGTAACTCTGATATGAGAGAGAGAGTGCACATAGTCAGAGAGTGTGCAGAGAGAGAGTGTGCAGTCGGAGGGAGAGACGTGGAAARCARAAGTTGGAGTGCTTTCCCGTCRACCTACAAACGCCGCTGTGGTAAAACTCGAATATGAAACGAATCGGCGCGGTGTTCGTTTCTCGGTATAAATGATTTTTYCTAATTTTTYCGTTATTTTTCCTGGAAAGATCACGACCTAATCTACGAGTGGTAAAATTTCAGAGTATTTGGTGGATTCCTCTGAGCCCGAAAAATCGCCAAAGTCGCCGCCATCCCGCTGATGATGAACACAGTCATTTTCGTTGGTCACGAGAGCCCCCATTCTCAGAGAAGAGAGGAATAGCCATCCYRCCATTTTCARAGGAGAGAGGGATARCCATCCCACAGACGGTGAACAYARCCACCGTGGTGGGGATGTCATCCTTGCCATGTCAGCAACTCAGGGTTGCTTTTGTTTTCATCCTATTAATGAGTGGCCTGTAGCCGSCCCCCCTGGGTGSAGTTCTGGTCCAGTGTGACAAGAGAGTGCATGGRGAMCARCAAATCTGGAACGCTCCCTGGCACAGAGAACGCGGAGGGGTATGTTCGGTCAAACTGACCTCTGTAAGAGGAAGAACCTGGATGTGTCTAGTGCCAGGGTCGCTCGCTGCTGAAAGCGCCTTCTTGAGTGAGCATGGGAGAGCGCGTCCGTTTGAGTGAGGAAGAGGAAGATGAGGGTAAGCACCCGGATGACGTTATGCGCTGGGTTCGTTTTGCTCTCTCAGAACTCCAGTCTTGCCAGTCGAATCCATCATGCTTTGGGGCTTGATCAGTAGACCTGATCTGAAACGCTGTCAGGGCTATGATTATCTGGCTCGGCTCRATAGAGCCATGYCAATGCCACATTGTGCCGCTCAAAGTTGAGAAATGATGAGTACGAAAGTGGTAGAGACAGCAAGTGATGGCTGRTTGGTATGCACGACAGTTACTGTACSTAGTCCTTTAATCTGATTCTATTGATGAGAATTGACGMGGACCAACCGCAAACTTCGACCACGTGATGAGATGGATAGCGCAGGCTYGCCGGGTTGAATTCAGGTACAGATTATGGCAATGTGATTTTCCAGTGTTCTTGCTGCAGATGCATTACGGCTTCATSTGGTGGATAGAAGCGCAAGGCCRCAGATTATGTCAATGTATATCCCCACGACCCAATCCTGCTTTCAACTCACGAAAAATTGGTTAATTTCTTTATCTATTTATTCGCTTGACTATTTCATTTGTTTAAGCACCTGGATGAGCCAGCAGACGACGTTCATGGCAGATGGGGAGATGTCATAAGGCCACAGGGAGAGCCCTTGATGTTAGTCGTCAAGGCGAATGTTTGGACTAAATGAACCTGGCCCGTGCGCCACGTAAGATTCGTCCGGCAATGTGTACCCTTGAAAGGGAAGAAGGCATGAAGCACTACAAAGTGCACGTGACCAAGAAGACTCTATAGAAAGGAAGAAAGGATCCAGATGACACGGTGGAAAACAAGAGAGAGAGAGAGAGAGAGAGAGAGAGAGAGAGAGAGAGAGAGAGAGAGAAGAGAGAGAGAGAACAGCGGGAGAGACTGAGAGAACAGCGAGGGGGAATAGCGCGAGAGAGAAAGAGGAAGAACAGCAAGAGAACTGYCGAGACTCTTTCCTSTGCAAACCTGCTGATTTACMAGTTGATCGATGRAACTCATTATTGTCTGAACCAGTYGATTTACCRGTTGACTATTGAGACTTATTACTGCTTGAAACAGTTGAATTACCTGTTGGCTATTGAAACTCYTTACTGTMKGAACCTGGTGATTTACCGTTYGACTGTTGGAACTCGTTACTGTCTGAACCAGCCGATTTAACTGTTGACTGATTGAAACTCCTTGCGGTGTGAAGATGCCAAATAAAGAAGAAAAGAGAAAAGAAAAACAGGTAGCGTGACAGGGCGTCTCCTACCTAGATCCCTGTTGGTCGTTGAGGACCTCTGAAGCGGGGACAGTGAAGTGACAGGCACTGTACCCCCTGGCTTCAGCGAAGAACAGGGCCCCCTCCCCTGGTTTCCCCACACCGGCGGAGTAAGTCCTTGACGTCCTGTAGGTGGTCCCACACAAAACGCCGGATCCCTGGCTGGACTTCCGTGTCGTCCTTTTCCTGCGCGCCTTTGATCGGATTGTCATCGATGTAAGGTTCACATTTTTCTGGGAACATGTCCTCGGCCACAGCGAGCATCCTGCGTTGTGCTTCAGCCACCGCGTTTGTGAATCTCATAGGTGTCACTTGCATCTGTAGCTGGCCTACGGGGGTGTGCATAGCGGTGTATGGCCTGTCCCGAACATCCAATGGAAGCTGGTCGTACCCTGAGTACAGATCTATCAGGGAGTAAATGCTCCGACCGGCAAGCGATTCCGCTAATAAGTCAGCCTGAGGTAGCGAGCTAGCATCCCGGATGGTTACCACATTCAACTTCTGCAGGTCCTGAATCCACCTTAGTGTCTTGTTAGGCTTCCGAAAGACGAACCACCGATTTGCGTACGGCGATGTCGTAGGCTCCGCAACGAAGGAGTCCATCTTTGCTCGGAGGAGGTTTGTTACTTCTCCTGCTATCCCAAATTCATAGGATGGCCCCTTGTCATTCCAACACTCATGTTCTACCGTGTGGATTCTGACCGGAGGGATCAACTTCGCATCCAGTCTTCCTTTCTCGTGATCACTAAAGGCAAATGCCAGGTGAAACTCCTGGCAGGTCCTTTTGATCAGGCGGGTTTCCTCCTCCGTTAAGAACCCGTCTATCCCTATCTTCATTGTGTCCGCTACCTCATCTGGTATCCGATGTCCCTCTTTCGCCCTTCTTTCTCGGATCACTCGAAGGACCTCTTCCTCCTTCTCCATAGCCTCTTCCCTTGATGTCTCTAGCAAGATCGAGACCGGTTTTGCTTTCTTCCCTACTGGCTTGTACTTTCAAATACTTCCTTCCGGAATCTTTCTCCTAAAAAACGAACAGTAGGAATTGCCCCCGTCGCCTCTACGCTCTACGAGTCGTGGTTGAATACTAACTAGTTTCTCATTCAGGCAATATCCCTTTTGCACCTCTCTTTCAAACTTGGCCAAGGTTGCCGAATCCACTCCTACTTTGTGGTATCTGAGGGCCTTGATGAGTTGCAATAGATCGGGAATCTCGAGTGCGATTTCCGGCACGTCTATGCGTACTTCTTTCCATTTGGGTAGGCTAGCACCAAATTCGACCTCTGACTCATTTTCTGCTACCATAACACCTAGGACTTCGTCCTCCTATTTCCTCTTCTTCTGGGGCAGACCCATCTTGATCCACTCCTTGTTGAATGCTTCTTCAATCATGATTTCTACCATTTCTCTCATACCCTCCATCCGTGCGAAAGCCCCTTTTCGCGTGCTATCCTCGAACGACGGCGACCATGTTGCCAATTTCCCCTTTGGGGGGTCTCCTCCCATTCCAAGGAGTCGGAGGAGCTCTCCCCGGCCGGTCACAGGGTCCTCTATGTCTACCATGTACGAGCCATCGTGCAAGTGCATGCCTATCATCTCTACGTTCGCGCACCACGGTCTCCCGAGGATTATGTCGTGGTCCATTTCCTCCATTACGGTCATCCGCTGAAACGACCAGATCGATTCCCTGACCCCTGCCTTCACAGTACACTTCGTGACGTACCCAGCGAACGGGATTTCCCCGCCAGCTCCCCGGAAGCTCCCTGTTACTTCCTTGTTTACCGTACATCCCGTGATCGTTGCGAAATCTCTCCTTGTGAGAGTGATTTCTGCTCCCCCATCTACTAATGCATCGGTATGATGACTCCCAATCTGGATTTTCAATTTCCCTACGGGCAACACATGAAAGCTAAGCTTCGTCTCGGGTGGCGATCTCATGACATCGCCGCCCTCTCGGTCGGGCAAGCTCAAACGAATATCTGCAAAGACCTTTCCGAGATCCTCCAAGTCCCCATGACTCCTCTGAAGGTTAGCCACTTATTGCGGAGCTTCCTCCTCCCTCTCCCTTTCTGGTAATTCGGGGTTGTCGCCTATTTCTACTTGCCTCCGAGTCAACAGTTGCCTGAGCCCTTTGAGCAACCTAGGGCTAACCTGCAGCATGGTCTGAAAAGACACCGACACCATGGTTCCTAGTAACTTGCTAATGGTGTCGTCGAGCTCAGGCAAGGCTAAGATCGGGATTTGATACCTAAACTTTTTCTTAGCGGCGGTAGCCTTGTCCGCAGGCTCCTCTTCTCTAGGCTTCCCATAGACTTTCTCTGGTTCCTCGGCCTCAGGCTCCGCCTGGGGTTCGGAGCTTCCGGCGACTTCCTCCATAATGGTGTCACGGTTAATCCTTCTCCCGGCCATTCCCAGTCGAGTGGTTGCGTTCACCCTATCACGTCCGTCGCTTTCCAAAATAAAGTTGGCCTGTAGCCTGCGCCCCCGGAGCTGATCCCAAATGATCTCGTCCACCGGTTCGGCTTCTACGGCTGTTATTTCTAGACCGTTGAGCATGATAATGGCTCGCCGCATCCCTCCTGGTGAGTTCCAGTTCACCCGTTCACCTTGTGGTCCAAATATCTCCCCCTTTAATGACCTGGTACACCTTCTTTTCAGAATATCATGGTTGAGCTTTGGGCATGTGTGCACATAATGTCCTATCGCGGTGCAGTACTTGCATTGCTCGTAAGCAGGATCTCTCCGTCCGAATCCCTGGTTTGCTACACCTGGCGGGACCACAGCTTCCTAGGGAGGGAGGGCGGGTCGAGATACTTGCGCCTGCATAGCCAGTAGCGCGCCTTCCAGTCTTTCAATCTTATTGTCGACCCCGTGCACCTGTTCATGTAGACTTTCAATCCTCTTCTTTACCTTGTCGCCCGTCCTACCGGTCAGATCTATGACCTCTCCTTCCTTGAGCAAGGCCAACGTCTCTGTTACTACCGTTTTCTCAGCCAGATCCGTTACCGTGCTAAAATCAACATCCCGCGTGTTTACGAACTTGCTCGTCTGTTGGTAAGCTGATAGGATCTTGTCTTTGTCGAACTCGGAGAACTGCCTGAGGAAATATTTGCTCATTATCCGGTCCATGACCCCGGGGATCCTTAGTGCTACCAGAGTAAACTCCCGTAGGAAATCATTGTACGTTGCGAAGTTCTTCCTTTGAACTGGCTTTAGGTCGGCCTCCATTGCCATTTTCTCTGCTGCTAGGTATTTCCTCATCATCACATTTCGGGTCTCCTTCCAAGACCGGCTCGCGGCTACGATGGCCATTATGTCCCATCCTAGGCTCAAAGACACATGCTGTCCCAGGTGGTCCATCTTCTCCTCTTCGGTCCATTTCAACAGCGCAGCCAGATTCTCGTAATCTATCATAAATTGCGCGATGTTCGCCCCATTAAACGTCAACTTCTTCTTAGCATCCGCTAGGTAGCCTTGATTTTTGTTTAGTGCTCGCGCGAGGGACGACACTATCTTCTTAAGGTCGCCCTCAGAGCTGCTGGCCTCACCTGTCACACTGTTATCCGGACCTTCCTTGTCGGCCTTCTGTCCCTCCCTGGTTTTCGTAGTTCCTTCTGGGTCAAACCATCCCAACACTCTTTCCCTAAGGCTCCAGAGTCCTTCGCACCCTCGCGTCACTGCTGGCGCTGTCGGCAGACGGCTAACCCTACTATCTATGGCTGGCGGGGTCGTAGCCTTTTCCGCGTCCATCCCCGGAGAGTTTTCCCCTTCTTTCCTTCTTTTGCTCAGTGTTCCCCCACGGTCACTACCTTTATCCCCTTGTCCAGTCCCACCTCGGCCGGTTCGCCGTTCGTCCCGGGGCTCCTCCTGCAGAGAGCCTTCTTCGTTCCCGGTCATCATTTCCTCAATCAGTCTCGCCTTGTATTCCGCGGTCCTCTTGTCTATCTCGGCTAGTTTGCGCCTCGTGTCCGTGACTCTTACTTTCTTAGGCATGGCTCCTTCCGAGTTTCGGGGGCTTGTCCTATCCTTATTTCTGCCTTCCTTGGTCCCCTGGGTCCCTTGCCTGCTTCCCCCGACTTTCCCCGAGCTTTCTCCTGTTGAGATTTTCTTCCGGTTCCCTTTGGTACCATCCGGATTTATCGATTCTCTGTCCTTCTGCCCCCCTTCGCTTTGCGCGACACTGCCTTCTAAGCCTGGTTCTCCTTCACTCTTGTGGTTATCTGTCTCTTCCTCCGTTGCCATTTTGCCTAGTTCTGCATAAGCCAAAGAATTCCCAGGACACACGCAATGCGAGGTTTTTAGGTTCCCTAGGCTCCCAACTCTGTTGGCTTATCTTTATAGTCTCCTTTCTTATCCCCGTTTCCTGATTACCCTTCCTTAAGGAGGAGCCACGACTGGCCCTGCCGCCCAGCCGAGCTATGAACATGACTGGACTTCCTTTATCACAAGCTCGTTTGTAGTGCCGTTGTCCCATCGGCCGACACGAGGGAGTCCGGTTTAGGCATCCTGCTAGGGGAAACCTTCCCGAGCAGCGTTTCCCGTTTTTGACCTTCAGGGTTATGGTCAATCATTAGGAGTCTGCCCCCCCCCCCCTTCTTTGTTTTTTCTAGTGGGTTTTAGCCATCTAGGTCCGAGGCCCCTTTCTTATTTCCATCGGCGAACTTCCGTACGAATCGAACTATACTCGATCTGTCTTATTGACCCGTCTGCGGATGCTAATCCCGCTCTCGCCCTCGCGGCTCTTCTGGTTCGGTAGGCTCCTCGAATGGTTGAGCCACCCCCGTTAGATAATTCTCCCCTATCTCGATTTCCCTTTGGATTATGCGTTCGCACCCTGTCCAGTCTAGTCGGGGCGCACAAAACATCAGGATGTGGATGGCTTCTAGTAATTCGTGGGCCCTGTTTCCCCAGAACGGCCTATGCTCCACAACGACATCGTAGAACATCCCAACGGTAGGGGAGGGAAAGTGGCCTGCCCAGACTATCGCTGAGTCTGCCAGCTCCCGCGCCCTTGCGAGGCTTCCGAAGACGAGGTCTATCATAAAACGGGGCACTCAGCATCTCAGCGGTGTGGTTGGTGCCCTGAACTCCCTCCAACCTCCCATCTCCACCCGGGTTAGCAAGCCCACGTTCCTTCTTCCCCTGACCGAATGTCCTATCCGGGTCAACGTCCGGGCGGCCCTTTGAAAGACCGGTGCCAGCTCGTGACCTTGTGCTATCTCTACCCCCAACGAATGCCAGCCGATCTCAGGCAGATACATGATCCCGGTAACTTCCAGATTGGAGAACAGATCGTCTCCGGGTCCTCTGTGGAGTCTCATCCCTGTCCACCGATATTCTACTAACATGAAGGCGGTGTCCCTTCCCAAAGTCACGGCCCTCCATGCTGTGTCGAACCCCCGATAGGTAGAACTCGATGGGAGGGATACTTCCCATCGTCCACCGTTGTTCGAGGGCGGTCCGGGGTATCGGGGTTGGCGTTCCATTTGCACACGGGGCTAACGCTCCACTCGCTCACGTCTTGCTGCCATTGTTACCTTGGTGATTCCCTACATAGTCCACATAGAAAGGGTTACAACCAATCTTCAGAATCCGTCCACCTACTGTCTCCCTTGCCCTTCGTGTTTTCATTTTCTCTTTTCTAGTCCCAACTATCCCTCTATACCCCCGGGAACAGTAGCCTCCTCTTGCTGTTCGTACAGTCGGTAGAGATCATCTATGTAGGTCGCTCCCCGACCTACCTCTCGCTGGATGACTCTCCACATGGTTTCATCGCTTATTTGTGGGAATCCTGGCCTAGTATTTACCACAGCTCGTAGAATGCAAAGCACCTCGCGCCCTTGGTTGCCCCCGAAAGGCCCCATCTCTAGGAAGGCCCGATAGTATTCTCGATACCTTAATGCTTCGTCCAAATTTAGCCTAGTTACGGCAGTCACTTTCTGCTCCACTCGTTCTATGCCTCCCATTCGTCTTAGCAGGAAGGGTGGTAGACTCATCTGTACGACCTCATTTGGCAGCTCAAAACCCCCTGTCGCGGCGACTTTTACCTCAACCGTCACGTCATCTCGTTCCGGATCTGCAAACTCAAACCCCTCCCGCCAGGTCGCTTATCCCCAAGGTCCGGATCTTCGAACATTCGCACGGGGTCATCCCCGGAAGCCAAAGCAATCCCAAAGGTCCGCCATCCCTCCTCCGACAGGTGTAAGGATCCCGTCGCATGTACACGCCCTGGGCGGTCCAAGTCTACGCCCCCGAACTCCCCTCTCGCCCGCCATTCCAGCTTCACTACTAGGTACACCGTATCTTCCACCAACTCTACCTCCACCCAGTCCATTACCGGATTGCCTACCGTATTTCTTGCCGGCAGGCTTATTTCGATCCTGCCCTCTGATATTCTTGGTGGCAGGATCCCACGAGGTCTATCCGCCCAGAACGTCATTCGCCGGGTCATCTCGCGATGTCTTTTTTCCTGCTTTCTTAGTCCGATTGCTGCACCCACCGAGATTTCATGCCTTTCGTGTTTTAGTAGTTCAACCCCCCCTACTTATCGTACACTGGTTCTTACCGCTATCCCCAACTCATACACGTTCAATTCTACTCCCTCCCCCATTTCCTAGTTGCTGTCACTCCCCCCTTGTTTCGATCCTTATGCACCATCTACGGCCTAATGTACACACTCCCTTTCTTATGTTACACCTCACTTCACAAACACCCTCCATACTCAGGCCTTTTCGCGTTGTTCGATCCCTTGGCCTCATTCAGTCGAACTACATCACCTCAAATAGTTTAAAGATGTCGTCTACGTATGAGGGTGCAGCCACCGCCTCCCGGCTAACTATGGCGTCCCAGGACTCCGCCTCTACCTCTAGGCGGTCATACCTACCTATTCTTAGGACGACGATGACTTCCTCGGATTTATCTCCGTAGAAGGGTCCATATTTCAATGAAAGTCTATAGAACTCCTCGATCAGCCAGACACACTCTATATGCACCTTTCTCATGGAGTCGGCTACTTCTAAAATGTGCTCAAACCCCCCAAACCACTCGGCTATGAATTCCGGTACCCAAGCCGTTATCCGTAGACTTGGAGGCTTGAGTTCCTTTCATCCTCCCATCACAACTCTGCTACTAACTTCGTCCTATCCCTCGTTGGCGAACAGCTTGCCTTCCTTTCGGGTTCAGGGCTCTGCATCCCCTACAAGCCACATCGGGTCCTGTCCCATTGCTAACATGGTGCAAAACAGGTGCCATCCATCCTCGGAAAGGACAATCATTCCAACTGACTCTACCTTGCCTTCTGCTATATCATCCCAGCCTTCCTCTTCCCTTATCGGGTTCCAAATCCGCTCTATCCATACATATGACAAGTCCCGGGCATCCTCAAACCCAATCCAGTCGCACGTGGTCCCTCTCCATCCGTTCCCTGTTGGTATAGGCATTTCTATTCCTCCTCTGAGTCGCCGTGGTTCCCAGCCTTTGAACGGGTATTCCATCATCCTTTCTTCTCTATTCATCTTTCCCTTTCCTGCACAATACCAGGCCACCCGCCCTTCCTAAGTTAAGTTTCCCCACCCTTTCAGAAGTCTCAGTCCTCTATCTCTTCATCTTCGTCTTCATCATTGAAGTCGTCCTCCTCGTCGTATACCAACTCCCTTACCCCATCTAGAAACGTCTCCCCTATTGCCACATTCCTGTAGACTATCCCTCAATGCACAGCGCTAGGGACAAATATATTGTCTATGCTAAGGCAGTTTAGTATCTCGGTCAACTCCTCCGCCCAGTTCCCCTCGAACGGCCCGATCTCTACTGATAACCGAAAAAAATTTTGCCTAGCGCATTGGTATAGCCCGAGGTTCGTCATGGACTGGCATATCCGTACTAGCCTGCTCCGGGTTTCGAAAACCGCATTCACTAGGAAGGAGGGCAACACACATCGCATGGTTCTTACGGGTCGTCTCATGCTTCCTCTATCCCCGAGTTCCACCTGTACGTCTACCTTTTCCATTTCCATTTCCCTCCGTTGACATGCAGCCCACACAACTTCTGCTTCTGCCTTCCTAAACAACTTGTCCGGTGTATTCCCAAGTGCCAACTCTATGATCATAGCTTTCTCCCCATCTTGCGACAAGTAGACCCGCCCCCGGGCTTCCACTGTCCCTCAGAATTCCAAATCCATTAAACTTGGTGACAACCTCGTCAAGCTGACATTAGTCCATATTGTTTCTATCTAAAGGAAAGCATCCTCTCCTTCCAGCATTACCGTTTGATACGCTGGTTCAAGGTCCGTCCACGTTCCATTTTCCGGGAGGACAACCGATACCCCATCCTTTACATCTACTGGCATTTCCGGGCCGCTAGTTTAGATCTGGGAAGGCAACCATCGCGCCATCTTGTTTTCAGCACCCGACCCCTGTTTTCATAAAAAGGCACCAACCGATCCTTTTGGTCAGGTCAACCCTTGTCCTAGAAGAGAATTATTTCAGACCCCTCATCAAGGTCTCCCTATTTTACCTCCCCATTCTTAAGTACCTCCTTCCCATAATTCCCTCGGCCGGCCATCCATTTGCCCACATTCTTTCTCTTGGTTCCATTCTAATTGACAGCTATCCTCCTTCCTTCCGATCATCTCTCACTCGTGCGGACTTAGATGGGGGGGGGGGATAGACTTAGAAATATGTCYCGTCCAACAGTCCAATCTCAATCAATTTTTACAGAAGGGGAACACATAAAAGAAAATCAAGCAACCTCACATATGGGCCGGTCATCTCCTCACCGGTCATCCCAATATGGTATCTCCGTTGGTACCATAGGTAGAGTTTTATCCCATACCTCAAGCGCAGCTCACCCGTCGTGAGCGCGGTACCCAAGTCTCGGCAAGGCATTCGCCCTTTCCTCCTTACCCAGAATACCCCATCCTGACTTGCCGCTCGTATACCCACCGTTAATCTCGGGAATCACCCCGCACATCCCGGTAGGGCCATTGGAGCCAGCCGTCTAGGCATTCACTTCCATCGGTGCGATAAGGAACAGTTTTTCCCAAGCCATGCTACGAGAAGCTCTCAATCGCCTCTGAGGCTCCTTCCTTGCCCCATATGCAGTGGTCCCCCTACCGTCTGCCGTCAAGCAGCCGCCCCGCCTGAAGAGGTTTCACATCCCACCTGGGCAAGATCATCGAGTCATGCTCGGACCACTCCGGTGAGAATGCTACTAATCAGCCGACGAGACCAACCCTTGCCTGACAGTCCGGTGGCCCGACACCCACACACGGAACCCGGTGAACTTCAAAGAGGACGACCAACTCGCATCCCGCACCGGCCGGCGCAAACCAATCCTTTCCTTCCAAATGGCAGGACGCTCGAAATCCCAATCATGCAATCATAAGTCCCAAGTGGGACACACATAACACAAGTGCCTTCCCCCTGGTGCACCCAGCGCTTCCTACCCATAACTCACATATTTTCTCTCAGGACAATGAGTGTCACTCCCCCTACTTTCATACATAGTGGTTGGTTCATTCTCGTGAGAATCTTCAAAGATGAGCTAGTTTTCCTTGGAGTCTAGCAACTCCCTTCATTCCCTTTTCTCTTCGCTTGTCTGTCCTTTCATATGCCGGGATTGTTCCTTCTTGATAACCCGTTGTGTTCATATTGGTTCCTTCAAGCATTTCAAAAAGGTGCAAAGTGCATGAGCCCACTGGGCTCAAAGAAGGAGATAAAAGGGCACCTGTCCGGTCGGATCACTCCGCTGCGGGATTTTCATTGGAGCCTGGCCTAGGCCAAGCACCAACCGCCTGCCAGGTAACCGGAGCCCTTCTTTCATATGAAGAGGGAGGGTCGACCTGCGACTTGCCTGAGGCTTCCCCGGGCTGACGAATACCAGCACCGGACGAAAGAGGGCTAGAACCATTTCACAAGGACATGGTTGATCAAGTGTATTGCATGCGTGTTATACGTCCAGGCCTGGCCATGCGATGCGCCCAGCCACCCCCTAATCTGATTTCTCACAAGAGAAAGAGCAAACACAAGTCCATTTTACTTATCTTGGGTTGTGTACACGTCAATGCGTCGGACGCCCCCGTCGGAATCGCAAGGGTCAATTTAACCCCATGTCCGTCACCTCCACCATTTTTGTAGGGCCAAACCCCGGTAGACTTTCGAGCCTTAGTCGACCCCACTGGGGGTCCCAGTTGGCTCGGCCCGCCCACGCTCATGCTCAGGGCGCGGGTGCGTTCGTCCCGAGGTCACCCCCACCTAGTACTTTGAGATGGATGGGGGAGGGTCATCACGCGAGAGAGCTTTGACATTGAAGATGTAGCTCAGCCGTCACGCCGGGTGGTAGTCTCGCTAGTCGTTCCGCAACGCTGATATTTTTTTAATTTTTTATTGTGTTCTCAAGCAATTGTTCCTTCCAATACCCAGGCAGTCCACGGGTTCTTTGAGCGTTTCTCTTCTCTTGTGCGTAGGCTAAGCATCATCCTTCGGCCACGCACCATTTCCCTAAGCATTTTGGCTATATGGCGTCATCGGGGTGTGGCGGGGCCGTCCTCCCCCTCGCCTCTACGCATTCATCGGATCTCACAATTTGCTTCCCACCTTATTGAAGTAGGCCCCTTAGTCTTTTCGGGGTCCTCATATGCATGCACACACAACATCACATTTTTCTTGGTACGATTGCACTCTCAATCACACTTCCAAGTCTCAAGTGCAAAAGTCATTTTCATGAGTTGGCTCTATGTCAAGGGTCCCATAGCCCCTTTGTCCCTCTTCCCTTTCCCTCTTGGTACCCAGTTCCTCTCACCCTTATCCCGCT